TGCGGAGACGGGGGGGAGACCGGGGGAGGCGCGGCGAGGAGAGGGAGGGAAGCTGAGGAGGAGGGGCGAGCGGGTGAACCGAGGACCGCGGGGAGGGAAGACCCGGCGCCCTCGGCAGCTCCCACCGCCGCTCCCAGCCAGAGCGATGTCCCGTGCGGCGGCGCTGGGAAGGACCTGAGGCCCCCGCCGGCTCCGGCGAAGCAGCGGCTGCTGTGAAGCCCGGGCCCCGCTCTCTCGGTAACACCCTCCCCTCCCCCGGAGGCTGCGCTGACCGGACAATGGCCGCCCCGCCCCCTCCCCTCCTGACGCACCCCTCCTCAGGAGTCACAATGGTCTCGCCCGGGGGAGCCTCAGCCAAAGCCCAGCAGCTGATCAGCTGGGATTCGGGCGTGCCACTTTGTTCAGCGCCTCAAAGGAATAGCACGGGGGTGTGGGCAAAGCCGAAAGCGTGGGGTTATCGGAGACGTCCTTCTGAAGCGTTTTTATTCTTGAAACTTTTAAAATCTGGGACAAATATATCTTCGCCCCATTTAAACAAGGGGATAGGCTTCTGAGGTCTCTGGGGCGCTTTCCCTCCTCCCTCCCCCCAACGCGATGGTACGCCCCAAGCGGGAGGGGGAGGAGCAGCTTAGTTGTTTAGGGTAAGTTGGGCCAGTCCCAGAGCGGCAGCGGAGAGCTGCGCATGCGCTCGAGACCTTGTAACCCGGTACGGGGTGGGGCCAGGGAAGCGCTTCCAAACCCGGAAGTGGGTCTCGGCCTTCCCGGCGCTACCGGTGTCTTCTGCGGTGAGCCAGGATCCGGAGCTCGCGTTTCCCTATCCTGGGTTGTGACATACTGCCGAGCCACTGGGAATCGGTCTTTCTTCCCAGCCCACCCTTCCCAACACACACACTCATCGACCTACTCATCCAGTTTCTCCCAGAGAATTGGTCTCGGCAGTAATGAATTTCTGGGACGTGTTCCTATAAGGGCATGTTAAGCGGGAGAGACAGGAACGAAAGAGGAGTCTGTTGGTCACATACCCCAGAGATGCTCTCAGAGCCACAAGTCTACCATCCCCTATGTATAGGGTACAGGAACCACAACTGGAAAACTGAATCCACAGTTTGCTTCTTGAAGGGCAAACTTCTTCTAAGTCCCTGCTGCTGCTAGAAAGATCTCACTCGAAAATAATGGGGGGGGGGGGGTGGAGAGGGGTTTGAATACAAGAGCCACACAGGGCATTGTTTAGATTAATTTTATCACCAAATGTTATTTTATTTTATATAAACCATCTGCTCATTCTCTGTGGGTTTGTTAAAGTTGATATTGTTTTTTTTTTGGCCTCTAAATTTCTAAAGAGCGAATAATCAGCTTATCATGCTCCTGAAGATGGTGTTGGTGCTGAAGATAATTACTGCAAAAAATCAAGCCACGTAAAGCCAAAGTATCTCCAACTGTGAGTGCTGACTTATTTTGTGTAATACTTGGCTTCAACTTTGTGGATTTTCACAATATTTCTGACAAAATACCATAGAATGAATGAAAACATATTACACAGCTAGTTCTCACTGGACTTAAGTCACCCTTAAGTTTTAAACTGGCACTGCCACATTCATGAGTTTAACACACCGAGATTAAGAGGAACTCTTAATTGGCCTCTCAGTGGTTTTCTTTTTATATATATACACGTGAAAACAAACCCTAAAACCAAAAGGAATTTTAAATGTAAAAAGTGATTGCCATCTTACAAACTGCTTATCTGTTTGCCAATTTTTCAATTTAAGAGATATTTATTGAGTCTCCGTATGTACAGGTAGACCAAAAGGATTGAGAAAATGTAATGTAGATCAGCAGGTCCAAATTCACTATGGATAATGAGGTTACATAATTTGGCTTTAAACTTCCTCTCAAATTTCATTCTCAGTATGCTATGTCTTGACCCTCTCACTAGTTACCATTCCTCAAGTGCACTTGCTTTTTCACATCTCTCTGCCTCATGCCTGCTGTTTCTCTCTGCCCCAGCTGCCCTTCTGTCTTGCCGAGCACATTCATATTGCTCCTCCAGGAGCATATTACCTCTTGAATGCCTTCTAAACTCTGCCAAGGCAGAATTGGTCTCTCCTTCCTCTTACATCTCCATTATAGGACCAAGAAATATACATGTTTGTCTTTACTCACAGATGATAGCTCCATAAGGACTGGCTGCTAGAAATAGCTGCAGTGTACCCCTGATCCAATAGAGATGTGAAAGTCTCAGAGGGTATTACCTAGGTTAATTTTATTACCAAATGTTACTGTTTTATTTCTATATTTACCATTCTGTTTGTGCATTCCCGATGAACTTGTGGGATCCACAAATCCCTCTGGGATCAAAGCAAACTCAATCCATGTTTGCTGAACAAAAGAGCTAATCTGATCAAATCCTCTCTTTGTCAAGGCTCTTTTGTCTGCAAGTAACAGAAAATCCACTAAACTTCTTCATACAAAAAGTACATAAATTAAGTAATCCTAAGAACCTAAGAGAAAAGAGAGCAACCATATCCCATGAAGATCTGAAATAAATCTGTAAAATATTAACAACAAGCCGTATAGCGATTCCCTCATTTTCTCTTTTTTCTCTCTAGTCACATTCTTTCACCTGCTTCATGCTTCTTCAGAGACTATTCACTCCTTCATTGGGAACATAGTACAACATGACTGCCCAAGCTTACCTATCCTCACTGTAAGAAACAGCAGACTTGGTAGCTATGAATCCCGGTTCCCAGCGAAAAGAGCCTGGTGGTCTAGCTTTCATCAGATGGTCTTTTCTGAGTTCAATTGTCTTGGGCCAGTGGAGCAGTGTGTAGTCAAGGCTCTTTGTTTTGTAATGCAAACATTGCTACCAGAGACCCATCCTCATAACCTGTAGTTCTCAAAACAGGCCAGTTATGTTCTTAGCAAAGATTCCAAAAGGTGTCTACCACCAACTCAAAGAGGAGTAAATTACAACCTGAAATTAAAAAATAAAAAGCAAATAAAAGTGTTCAAGGTTTTCCAACAAACTAAGATGCACTCCCTCAAGTCTTCATTGGCCCCCAGCCCCAATTAAGCTTATGTTATACCCTTATTATCTTCTATAACACCCTTTTCCTTTAGTAAAGTCACCTATCGTAATTTATAATTAAATATTTATTTGTTTGTGTCCTCTGCAAAGATCATGACTCTTTCACTGTTGTATACACACTGCCCAGGACAAATAAAGAGTTTTGAAATGAACTAAAATATTCTTTAACAAATATTTGTTGACTAAATTAAATGGTACAATAATTTGTTAAACAATGTGAGACTGACATGTGAATTGGCATCCTAATCAGACTATCCTTGGGGACTGCCTCCATCACCACACAACTTCCTGAAAAGATACTGAAACTCATTGAAAGATTTTTTGACAATATAGTTGTATGAAATTACACCCAGTGTTCATCTGCTTCAAGTTATGCTGTTCCTAGTCAGCTAACTCTTTACTCTTAGCTCTCAAGGTTTCTAGCTGAACAGCCCTTGAACCAATATATCTATAACATGCCCACTTAGTTGGACAAAAGCTCAGAGAGGACATAAAATTTCAGGGCATCATCAAATCAGGGGATCAAAACATAGGGTAATTGGCAGAAGAGCTTTTGTCATAATTGTCTTGACTATTTTCTAGTGTGGATTATGCTCCAGATGAACCTGTGATGTGACTCTTGGGGGTAGTTTGCCATCACCATTGGCCCGAAAGGTGCTATCAACATACTCAGTAGGGCCTAATAAAGGATATTATTAATGCTTCAACAGCCAGAGCTCTTGAAGTAGCAACTGAGGTTTTATGGGAAAGAGCCATGTGTGACTCAAGGGCAGAACATTACAAGGACTGCTTTCTTAGTGATACCGAGCCAAAGACGTTAGCCCTAGAGGACACAACCAAAAAAGAGGAACTTGTAGAGAAAGGAGAGAAAACAGGTGGTCCTCTCACTCTGATACTAATCCTCACACCACAACTCATTCTTTTACCCCCACATCAAACCCTTTCATTATTCAAATTCATTTTCAGCCAGTATTAGCCCAAATATCCAATCCAAATTCTAATCTCAATCTTAATCCAAACATTAATGTTTATAATGTAACCCTGCTCTAGGTTTGACTAGGTTTCTATGAGGGTAATAAAACATTACTCACCATTGAGTTATTTTCTTGTGACTCTTGACCTCGACTTCAGCCTCTCCCTGGATTTCTGAGAGAATGGGAGCCAGTTTGAATCACCACCACCCCCACCCTAAATACAAGAACCGTGGGTTGCCAGAAAAGAAGAAGTGGGGCATTTCTCCTGTAGAAATACTACCTAATTGCAACATGTCCTGTTGCTTAATTCAGGTATAATTCAGCCTCTGAAAGTCCACAAAAAATGTAATCCCAATGAACTGTGCAGGCTTAGAAATGTGAGTACAGTTGGTAGAAGACCTGAAACCCTTTTGCATAATGATAAAATTAGATTTAGATGAGTGACTTTCAAATCATATTCTCAGAGCAAGAATTCTGGTTTCTATTTTCCAGCCTTACTTGATTTTGGTGTGGGGGTCAGCGGGGTGCAAAAGGGAGGAGAAATTTTTTTTTTTCAAAAGTCACTGAACCAGACCCTTTGTAAGATTCCTTTTGGCCCTCGAGTTTTCTGATGTACAGTTGATTCTTTAGTCACTTACAGTCTTCTTGGCATGTGTAAACCCTCAGAGTCGAGGGAAAAGAAGAGCAACCAAGCATACCATCTCTAACCCTTCTCAAGAAACTAAAAATAAATAAAATGAAGAATGTGATGGGTAAGAGAGAAGGGAGGGGAGAAAATGCTGCCATTTCACATTTTATTTTCTCATGTTCATAAAGCAATTGCTGATTTCCCTGCTGCTCACACCCATTTTGGTGTGAAATTTGATTTTACTGACTTTTAAATTTCTTTTCAAGAATAGAAATATTGTTTTTCCCAGAAATACTTGACCTTTGTGGGGTGAAAAAATTCAAATAATGAGAAAGCAAAGTCCTCCCTAATACCATTTAGTCCTCTAGGCTTTTCATTTATGAATTATATAAATTGGGTCAAACAACACATAGTATAGTATGCTGTAGCTCTTTTTTTTTTTTACTTAGAAATATGTCAAGGATGGACACCTTCCATATCTATGCATATAGTATACATATAGTTTTGTAGTATTGTCTTAGAAAACAAGCTAATTGCAATTGCATTAAGTTTCTCTACTGAACTAATAGGCTGTAACAGATATATTGTAACATGATTACATTTAATATAAAGAATATGGTTGCATATATATGCATACTTTATTATAATGTATACATTGTTATATAAAAGACATATGCATGATGTGAAGTTACATTATATATATATACACATATATACATGTGTATTCAGAAAGAGAATTTTATTATAAATAATAGGCCTGTGTAATTATGGAGGCTGACACATAAGAACCAAAACCATAAAGTACATGAAAGAAAATACAGGGGACACACAGCAAAACATCTACTACAAAGATGTATTTGGGAATACAATCCAACCCAAGCAGCAAGGTAAACAGCAAAAATAAGCAAGTGGGATAATATCAAACTTAAAAGCTTTTGTAGCTCAAAAGAAACCATCACAAAAACAAAAATACTAAATATAGAATAGGGATAAATATTTACATACCATAATAAGAGGTTAATATTCAAAATTTACAAAGTACTTACATAATCCAACAACAAAAAAAAATCAATTAAGAAATGGGGACATGAACTCATTAGACATTTCTCCAAAGATGACAGTTAGGTGGATTATAGACAGATGAAAATATGTTCAGCATTACTTATTACAGGAGAAATGCAAATTAAAGGGTATATAAGTATACATGTACACCACCTCACCCTCACTAACAAATGCAAGATTGCAATGCAAAAGGAACACACTCATCCACTATTGGTCAGAACTCAAGCTGGTACAGCCCCCATGGAAAATGGTATGGAAATCCCATTTGCCCAGCAATACCCACTATTAGGTATCTATACAAATAACATGAAAAATCTAACATGGCAAGATCTATCTACTCCTATGTAGACAGAAGCACCGTTTAAGATTTCCAAACCATGGAAACAAACCAATTGCCTTTCTTCAATAGATGAATGGATAGAGAAACTGTGGAACAGAAATCTGATGAAATATCACACAGCTCTGAAAAAAGATGCCACCAAAAGTGGTAACATTTGGCACAAAATGGATGACCTTGAGGTGATTATGTTGAATGAAATCAGTCAAAAAGTGAAAGACAGGACCCTTCCTGGTGGCACAGCTGGTTAAAGCACAGCACTAAGAAGCTAAAGCCACTTCAGCGTGAGTTCAATCCCTACCCCTGGAGATGACCCACACGGCGCAGCAGACCTCTCCTGACCTGCCCGCTGTTCCCTTCAGCAGTGTTCTTCATCATTTCTGTCTGTTCTGCTCCCTACTCTGTCCGGTGAATCCTCTCACCTCACCTATGCTGGCCTGTACCCCAGTTCTGCATGAATAAATAAAATTTTTTTTTTTAAAAAAGTGAAAGACAAACTTTGGATGCTTTCACTCATTTGAATTATATAATTTTTTTTAATTAACATGCTAACAATGGAAGAAGTAAAAATTTGAACTCAGCAAAAAAGAAAATGGTTACCAGAGGAAAGAGGGGGAAGGGGAAGGATAGAGGGAATGGGGAAGGAATGAGATAGAATATGGACATGGGTGGTTTGGTGAAGGCTAAAATGTCTAGATTATGCTTATAGCATCTACCTATGTCTTAGAGTTATTGTGAGGATTACATTATATGATGGATGATGAAATTTTAGTAGAATAAGTAGGTAGCATCTAGCACAAGCTCAATAACAATCATTATTAGCATTATTTATTTTTAATGATTGTTGATCACTCTACTGTACATGGGAAACATTTAATGAAGTTCCTCTTGATTTATGCAGCAGACACTTTTTGAGCCCAGACTATGTGTTAGACACTGTTGTTGACATTAAAGATAGAGTGATAAATGAGACAGAATTTTCCCCCCTCTGGTGCTGCTTATGCTCTAGTGGTGAGACAAGCAGTCAAAACAATTTAAACAAGGCTTTGGAGGGCAGTTAGGTCCAATTTCCCACTCTTATAAAAGAATTTTACAGTGAACATCTTTGTCTGTTTGACCTAATCATGTCTTGAGTTTTTTTATCTTTCTAGAAAAAGAATTGCAATACCACTTAACATTTTTTTAAAAAAGCCGAACTCCTTTCCACAAAGGTTGTATCAATTTATGCTCCCTCAAACAGTGAATGAGAAGCAAATTCCCCCACACTTCAGTAACCTGGGGATGTCATCAGTCAATTTTATCATCATTCTTTAATTCTTGCAAACATAAAAGGTAAAAAATGGCACCTAATGAATGTTTTAATTTGCATTTTTTGATTATTAATGAGATCTAGATTATTTTTCTATTGTGTATGTATTGCATATGCCATTTGAATTTGAATATGGATTTATTTTTGTGTACATTATATGTTTGCATTATCTGGACAAAATGCTTTGTCTGTAAGGCCTTCCTTTTTCCCTCTTCAAAGATATTAATGTTAAGAATATTAACCTTTTGTCATATACACTGCAAATTTAAGTGTGTGGTTTCTTTCTTAAACTGTATGTAGCTTTTTAATTTTTTAAATTCTAAAACTCAGGAGATCTATGTGAGTTAACCTTGAGTAGTGCTTGAATTGCCAATACAAGCACTTTTTTCTGAAGGCCTCCAATTACTGCATATAAGTAAAAAAAGAAAAGAGTATTAAAGGGGAAAAAATAGGAAACCACAGAGAGGGTCAAATAGATGGGGGAAAAAATTTCCTCAGTCTGCCCAATCCCAACTCATGTTAGGGAGCCTGAGCTATAAGACAAATGGCCAGAGCTTCTATAGGTCAGTCCAGCCCCTCAGTTGTGGTCCAGTTCTGAGCTCCCCAGAAAGATGCCTCCAGCACATATATCAGAGCCTTCCCAATTTCCTGTCTAGTTGAAAAAGCAGCTTCAAGCTGCAGTCCTGGACCTCTGCAGTTGTCAGTCCCCAGGAACGGACTTGATATTTCCCACCAAACCCTTTACTCATGTTTGCAGAGAAATCTGTAAGCATGAATGGCATCGCTGTGCTCCAAGAACTGACCCATTGAGAAGAACCTAGGGCCTTTAAGGAAGGGGAATGGCTAGGGGGAGAAAGGTTAGGATTCAAGATTAGCCTAAAATTAGGGAGGAAGCCAGAATTGGAGGATTAGACTGGTGACTGAGAAGTGGGCATTTGGAATCCAAAACAGGACTGGTGGCTCAGAAAAACGATCATGATTGAAGAGAGGCTTTGATACCCAAGCTGATACAGAGACAAGACTTGGGAGGTACAGAGCAAACATTTCAAGGGATGGCTAGCAGGCAAAGAAAGTGTGTGTCATCAAACCAATTACTACTGGGAGTAACTGGAGCTCAGTGACCAATTCTGCGAAGTGTATGTAAAATCACCCCTCAACAGGAATAACTTCAACTTATCCCAAGTGTGGTTTGCTGTACTCCTTCCAAGACGAGTCACTGAGCTGCAGGACTGAGTTTTCACACCCACTTCTGTTCCTAACTGGTAGCTTCTCACAGCATGTCAGCCTGCCTTGCTGGCAGAGCAGCCTTACCTGGTTTCAGGGAAAGCCCTCCTGCGAAGAGGTGTAGAGATTGGCCATTGGAAATTAATGGGGTCCCTTTGAAGGTGTAAAGCCTGTGGGATAAGGATGGAGATGGGCACAGTGCCTGCTGTAGCTGGGAGCAGTGTTTGTACACAGATTTAGGAGAGTGTGGTTTTTGATATTACCCGGGGTGTTCTTCCTAAGACTGTAATTAATCAAGTAAGCCTAGTTACCTTCTGATTAGGAGTTAGGGAGCAGGGTTAAGGTTACAACTGGAATTAGAAAATTAGGTTCCTCTGAAGGGCACTGAGAGGCATTCATCCTGCCTCGAATTACACAGCTAGTAGCTGGTGGGCCTTGGCCAGGATGGGGGCCTGGTCTGCTTAACTCTGAAGTCCATTAAGAGTGCAGAGTGCAGGATGGTCTGGTGAAAGGAGGGAGGTAGCCACGGGATTCTGAACGCCTGTGGGTTCTTCTGCTGCTGCCATCTGTTCTCTTGGCTCCACTGCTTGGCAGTTGCGCGCCCATGTCTGCTCTCTACTCTGGAGGAGGATGCATTCCTCCACGGCCCATCGGGCAGGATGAGGAGCCGTGCCCTCGCCAGGGCTGCGCCACATGATGGATTCAATGATTATGACTTTCTGATGTGGGGGCTGCTCAGCCATGTAACAGACTCAATCCCATCTGGTGTATCTTTCTTGAGAGGGCTGCTGGAAGGAAAAATCTTCATCATCCGCCTGCTGCTAGGAGTGTGTGTGTGCACACAGGTACCAGAGTGTATGCAAGTGTGAACTGTGTGGATGTGGACATCAGGAGTCCAAAGCCACTGTAGGTCTTTTTCCCTCTCCAAGCTCATCGAGCAAATAGGTCAATGAGCAATAATGGTGCTGTGTTCCATGTACCTGCCATAGGCAGGCAATGTGGTAGGTGCTTTACATACATGGTTAGTGTGGTTAATAGAAGCCTTACAGTTCCTGTGCAAAATAAATTCTTCATCCTGCAGATGAGGAAACCGGAGTTGTCAAGGTTAAATGAGCAGCCTGAGCACTTCATTTTTTTTTTTTTTTAAAGATTTATTTATTTATTCACACAGAACTGGGGTACAGGCCAGAGATGCGGAGGGTGAGAGGATTCACCAGAGACAGAGTGGGGAGCAGAACAGGCAGATCAACGAAGTACACTGCTGAGGGGAGCAGCGGGCGGGTCAGGAGAGGTCTGCCGCGCCATGTGGTCACCTCCGGGGCAGGCGGGGATCGAACTCATGCGGAAGTGGCTTTGACTTCTTAGTGCTGTGCTTTAACCCGCTGCGCCACCAGGGAGGGCCTGAGCACTTCATTTTTAAGGGATAGAACCATGATTTGAAATGATGTCTCTGATTCCAAGAGTATATTTAATTTCTATCTCCTCCCAAATTTTCCTAGAATGAGAATGAACAAAACACTGCTACACATGAAAATATGTCTGATTCATATAAAACTAGTGTTCAACAAAATAAATCAGACACAAAACACTGCATGATTCTATCCAAATAAAGTAAAACGGACGTCATTAATCTATCCTGATGAGAGAAGAATGGCCACTATAATAGGGGTAGAAATCATTGGGTGGGTGTACTGGGGGGGACTTCTGGGGAGCCAGTAATAGGTTATCTTTTATTTCTGAGTCTGGGTGCATTCAGTTTGTCCAAGCCATTATTTGTGTACTTGTGTACTTTTCTGTATGGAATTTTCAGCTAAAAAATGTTCAAAAATAATTTTTGCAAGGACCACAGTACCTGCCTTGTTAGGGGAGGGGAGCTCCTGTTCTAATCAGGTGACACTGAGAGCTTCAAGAAGCTTTCAGGTGAGTGAGTCAGAGGGGTGTTGAGGTGACCTCAAGAACTCCAGAAGGACTGGAAAGAGGAGTGATAAGAGGCAAGAGGAGTAGATGGTCCTGTGTGTAAAAGGCCAGCACAGGCTCTCTCTGGTGGCGCAGCGGGTTAAAGCACAGCACTGAGAATCTAAAGCCGCTTCCGCATGAGTTCGATTCCTGCCTGCCCCGGAGGAGACCACATGGCGTGGCAGACCTCTCCTGACCCGCCCGCTGCTCCCCTCAGCAGTGTACTTCCATGATCTGCCTGTTCTGCTCCCCACTCTGTCTCTGGTGAAGCCTCTCACCCTCCGCAACTCTGGCCTGTACCCCAGTTCTGTATGAATAAATAAATAAATCTTTAAAAAAAAAAAAAAAAGGCCAGCACAAGAGAAACTTCTTAAGACGGTTGATGTTTAGTAGCCAAGGACTTCAGGGACTCTGAAGTCCAAGAGACCTGGATTGAGCTCCTGGCTCCATCCTCTGTTGGTAGTGGGAACTAAAGAGAGTTATTTCTCTTTCAGAGACTTGGTTGCCTCCCCTGTGTGGCTAGTCACTGATACCAACAACCCTGTGTGAGGCCTGAATGAGTTAAAAGACTAAGCACAGAACATTCAGTACAAGTATGTTTGGAAGGTGGAAGAGAAGATGCTCTGGAATTTGAGAGGTTCCTCAAATATGTCAGAGGCTGGCAGGTGTAAGACACCGGTGTAAGACACCTCACACTTGTTCATGGTTGCTCTGGCCAGAACTCAGTGATTTATTGTCCATATGGGGAGCACCTGGACT